AATGCTTTTTTCTAGATCCATGACCTTCTCCAGACTTCTCCTTCAGTACTCTCTAAGCAAACGCTGCGTCTACACTGATCAAGTATACCATTACGGCCACCTGCCTAATACTGTGTTGATGCCCCTTTTGCAGCCCTGACCCTTTGACCCCTGTAGGTGTGCTTTCGTATCTGGCACCAAGATGTTAGCAACAGCTCCTTTAAGTCCTGTGAGTTGTGTTGTTCCTCCTCCTGCTGTTTAGATGTCCTGCCAACAAGTTTTTTCAAAAAGGTCTCAAAGACTTTAGAGTCAGACCTGTTACAGATCGTCAACTTTTCTTTATTATCAGGTGTGTTTCCAGAATCACTAAAAACTGCTGTAATCAAACCTATACTGAAAAAGGAAAATCTTGACAAGACACAAATGAACAACTACAGGCCGATCTCAAATCTCCCATTTTTAAGTAAGATCATTGAAAAAGCAGTTTCTCAACAGCTCAGTTACTTCTTAAAACAGAATAATTGCTACGATGCCTTCCAGTCAGGTTTTAGACAGAACCACAGCACTGAAACCGCTCTGACAAAAGTGTTTAATGACATATGTCTGAATACAGACAGTGGAAAAATGTCAGTCCTAGTTTTACTGGATCTCAGTGCAGCATTTGATACAGTTGACCACAACATATTACTCAAACGACTGGAGAACTGGGCAGGTCTTTCAGGAACTGTACTAAACTGGTTCAAAACATACTTAGAAAACAGGAAATACTTTGTATCAATAGGTAACTTCACATCTGAGCAGACAAGTATCACATGTGGAGTTCCCCAAGGTTCCATCTTGGGACCCCTTCTGTTTAACATCTACATGCTCCCACTGGCACAGATTATAAAGAACAACAAAATAAACTACCACAGCTATGCAGATGACACACAAATATATATCACAATGTCACCAGGAGACCGAGGCCCTGTACAGGCTCTTGGTAAATGCATTGAGGAAATCAATGACTGGTTGTGCCACAATTTTCTCCAGCTAAACAAAAACAAAACTGAGGTAATAGTCTTTGGCGCCAAAGAAAAACGATTACAGGTCACCAGAGAACGTCAATCTATACACCTAAAAACCACAAACCAGGAGAGAAATTTGGGTGTAGTGATGGATGCAGACCTAAACTTAGAAAAACACATTAAGATAATAACAAAGTCAGCTTACTATCAAGAATATTTCAAGGATCAAAGATCTGATGTCTCAACAGGACCTGGAAAAACTAGTCCATGCATTCATCTTTAGTAGGCTTGATTACTGTAACAGCATCTTTACAGGTCTACCTAAAAATCAGTCAGACAACTACAGCTCATTCAGAACTCTGCTGCTCGAGTCCTCACTAAGACCAAAAAAGTGGACCACATCAGTCCAGCTCTGAGGTCTTTACACTGGCTGCCTGTCCGTCAGAGGATAGACTTTAAAGTTCTGATGCTGGCCTATAAAGCTCTGAATGGTTTAGGACCAAAATACATCAGTGACCTCCTGACCCAGTATGAACCTTCCAGATCCCTCAGGTCATCTGGATCCGGTCTTTTATCAGTTCCCAGAGTCAGAACCAGACACGGAGAAGCTGCATTCAGCTTTTATGCTCCTTATATCTGGAACAAACTCCCAGAAAGCCTCAGATCAGCTGAAACACTCAGTTTATTTAAATCCAGGTTGAAGACTCACCTGTTCTCAGCTGCATTTGAATAAAGCACCAAATCCACACTTTTAAGCTTAAATTTCAAAACTTACATTAACTACTGATTTTATCTACTGTTCTGATTTTATCTGTTTTGATTTTACATACTGTTTTGTTTGTTTGTTTGTTAATTAGTTAGTTTATTTGCTTGTTTTAATCAATTTTAAATCATGCTTTTTATTTGTTCTTGTTTCTAATGTCTCTGTAAAGCACTTTGAATCACCTTGTTGTTGAATTGTGCTATACAAATAAACTTGCCTTGCCTTGTGGTCCACTTGTGATGCTCACATGCCCATTGTTCCTGTGGTGGGCAGGGGTCAGCGTGGGCTAATGCACTGTGTATGCTCACACAGTTCTCTCACAACCAGCATTAAGTTTTGCAGCAATATCAGCTACAGTAGCTTGACTGTTGAATTGAATTTGTCTGAACAAACACTTCAGTAAAACGATTTGACACACTTTGTGCACGTGGCTGCTAAGTTCCACTCATGAGTATTTTAATTGGTTGACTGTTGATTCAACTTCGGTTTTTGAAGTGATGATGATCACACATTTACTTATGTGGTCAGTCCCCAAACTGTAGCTGTAGATGGATATTATAAAGAGCTCAGAGGGAAGTGTGGGTGTTTATTTGTCTCTGTCACTCACAGCGGCGTGCTGCACTCAGGCATCAGATATTAATTAAATTGGTATGAACAAACAGCTGGCATGTTTCCCACTATCACAGTCACCCATGATGTTTGCTCTCTGCCTTCAGCTTAGGTGGCTGTGTGCTTTGTTAGGTGAACACCAGAAATACTTGAGTACAGAGTCTGTAATGTGCTGTTTCCAGTGTGCTGACATGTTGAGCCTCCAGGTGGATGAAGCAGTAGGCAGGTATGACTGTGCTGCTGTTGCCACTTTGGTGAAAGAAGGACGTTTAACAGGAACAGCTTGTCTGTTTCCTGTTTCACTGTAATAGCTGTCTGTCAGCTCCTCTTCATCCTGACGAAGCTGTGCGTGTGTGTGCGTGTTTGTGTGCGCCGCTGTCTTTAAGCTCAGGTGTTTGGTGTTTGTTTCCGCTCCGTAATGAAGAAGTAATGAGCAGTCGGACAAGCTGTTGATTACCCTTTTTTCCACTAGCTTGCAGAGCTCTTGCAGATGGCTTGCAGTTGTCTCTACACAAGTATGTGTGTTTGGGCATCTGTTTGCAAGCGTGTGTGTGTGTGTAGCTACATGCACGTGCTGTGTTTTCTCTCCCGTATGAACTAGAAGAGTGAAGGCGTTTCTGTGTGAAACAAAGCAGCTAGCAGCAGCTTCTTTACCCAGGGGTGAATTAAAGTTTCCTTTGTGGCGTGGTACTGATAAGGCCGTTAGACACTGATAGATGACGCTCTCCCAGGGAGCTGACATGTCACTTGTTCTTTTTATAATAGTTTTCTCTGACAGAATCGTTTGTGAGGGGACCTGTGTGAGAGTGTGTATGCACAAAATCTGCTTATAGAAAAGCAGCAGTCTAATACGATCAGACTGATAGTACACTTAATACATGACGAGCAGTTATCATGCAGCAGTGATCTGGAACCTTCCACAGCGTTAGTCCTTGGTACACCTGCTTTTACTGCATCAGATGTTCAAAACCACAGTCTCACCAAATAATTGGATACAGTATAGCGAGATAACGACTGCTAAGAGAGTCACGCTAACTGATTTAGTGTGAAAATGTGCAGCAAAGACTGGAAAAATTACTTTTTAGTGATTTTAGTTTTCATGTTGATCTTTGCTCATTTGTTTCCTGAGTGTCTTCTGCTGTTTGTCTCCTCTCTGTACTCTTTCAGTTTCACTTTCTTCCTTTGCTCCTTAACTGCACTCATTTTTGTCCTGACTAAGTTAACCTGTGCTTCATTTCCCCTCACTCAGCCGCCCAGCGGGGTGAAGACATTGCCCCGTCAGCCTTTCACAGCTGAGGGGTAGAGAGTACTGCAAACAGTTTAGCAAAAATGTTCAATTTAGCAGCTACTAATGGGTGAAAGTGTAACTTAGAAAGAATTCTATGTGACCTAAAGTCAGAACTACTGTGCAGCTAAATCAGCTCAGAGGCTTGAGTCATTTGAAAAAGTGATTTGAAACTGAAATTCTAATTTTTGACATTTGAAATATAATAACATACCTAACTGACTGTGGGTGGATGGGTGTGTACTGAAAGTTGTTTGCACTGCATCAGTGGACGTTTGCTATAAGCTGAACTTCTCTCAGGGTTTCCCTCTTGTACCTCTGCACACTAGTCTCTGTGACTCATCATATTTACACTGAAGAGGAGCTTGAATCTGTTCATGTGATAGCCTCCCATTGTGCATATACAGGGTCTCGACCTCCACACCTCCAGTCAGTAGCAGGCTGGTACACTCACAGTCTTACTTGTCTTGATTTAAGAGAAGAGGAAAAAGTGACGGATTGAAAGTTTCAGGTATTCAGAAGGAGAGTGAGAGCTTTGGAGAAATGTACATATACTAAATGTACTACATTTGATCTATCTAGCAAAGCAAAGCTGAAGCCAGTTTTGCCAAGACATGACATGGAGACTCGGCTTGACTACTGCAATGCACTTTATGTTGGAGTGAGCCGAGGGTTTCGTGCACGTCTTCAGCTCGTTGCTGCTGCTCGCCTCTTGACTGGTACCCGCAGGCATGAACATGTAGCACCTGTCCTGTCCTCTCTTCACTGGCTTCCTGTTCATGACAGAGTTCATTTCAAAGTCCTAACGCTGGTTTATTAATGGCCTTGCTTCCACATACCTTTCTGAGATGCTTCAGCCTTACTTCACGGGGCCTCAGATCAGCTGACCAGCTGCTGTTGGTTGTCCCAAAATCTCGGCTAAAACGTAGAGGAGAACGAGCCTTTTCAATAATAGCTCCCAAACTTATAATATGCAGCCTTTAAGTATTAGACAGGCATCTTCGTTTCCTGTTTTTAAGCCTCTTTTGAAAACTCACCTTTTTTCGATAGCGTTCAGACTGGTGTGAGTTGATGTGTTTATTATGTGTATTACTGTGTGTTTATGTGAGTGTCTGTGTTTTTATCTTGTGTTTTACTCCTGTGTTTCTGTACAGCACGTTGTGCTATATAAATAAACTGGATTTGGATTTATGTGTACAAGCTCAGGTCATCATGAAGTGATGGAGTGTTGTTGAGTCAGCTCTGGATTACTTCTTTTTATCTAGAGCTGCAAATGAAAATGTAAAGACCAAAAAAAGAGCAAAGAATAACAGAAAGTAAGCAGGTGAATGTCTGAAGGTGTCATCTTCACCTCCAGATCGACCGTCAGTAGCTGTAGTGCAGCCGGAGGTGCTCAGGGTGCTCGGAGAGCGGGAGGAGCCCGCACCGCCAGCTGTGGAGCCCAGCGAGCCGGAGGAGCCCAGCGAGCCGGAGCAGCTCAGCGAGCCGGAGCAGCTCAGCGAACCACCAGCAGAGGAGCTCGGCGAGCGGAAGGAACAACCGGCGCTGCCAGCCGAGGAGGAGCTCTCTCTGCCAGCCGCCGAGGAGGAGCTCTCGCTGCCAGCCGAGGAGGGACCCGCTCAGCCGGAGCCGGAGGTCAGCGAACCGGAGGGACCTCCACGTCTGGCGCGGCCTCCACGCCATCCACGCCATCCACGTCCTCTGCATCCACGTCAGCGACCAGCGCGTCATGAACCGTGTGCCACACCTCGCTGTTGCTCACCGGAGGAGCAGCGCCGCCACCGGACCCGTGGCAGGCCGCCTGGGGAGCAGCGCCACCGCCGTCGGACCCGGGGCAGGCCGCCGGAGGAGCAGCAGCGCCGCTACCGCCACTGGATCTCGGGCAGGCCGCCTGGGGAGCAGCGCCGCCGCTACTGGGTCCGGGGCTCGCCACCGGAGGGGCAGCAGTGCCGCCGCCACTGGAGCAGTGGCAGGCCCCCAGAACCATTTTTCTGCTGTTGCCGGACCCGTGGCCGTCCGCCGGAGCTGCAATGTCGCCACCATTGGACTCGAGGTAGGCCCCCTGAACTCTTTTGTTATGTTGATGGGCCGCCTGAGACTGTTTTTGTGGCGTTTTTTCTTTTTGTTGCTCCGCTGCGGGATGCGCGGTCGGACTCTGGGACTGTGACCTTGGGGGGGTTGTTTTCTTTGGGGGTTTTTGCTTGTTTTGGTTCTGCCCTCCGTCCTGGACCTCCCGCCGCCCGCCCTGGGTTGGTTGTACTGTTTTTGGTTTGTGTTTTTGGGTCGTCAGGAGCCGACCCTTAGAGGGGGGGTACTGTCATGGACCCGGCTCTGGAGGACTCGGGGGTCCGTGACCAGTTTTGACTGTTGTTATTGTTGTTAGTATTATTATTATTTGGTGATGTGTGTTTTCTCCACAATGCTGTGTTAGTCTGTGTCCCACTCGTATGTATAGGCAGGGTGTGGGTGTATACGTGTGTATGTCTGCGGGTGTGGCTGGAGGATGGAGCACAGCCACCTGCAGGCCTGATGGGTGTGGCCCTGCGGAAGGACTGGCCACACCTGTTGGTGATCAGGGCTCGTCGGGGGAGCTACTTAGGAGAGAGTTGGAGCTCCCACCGGCGCGGGATCATTGAGTTATCGTACCAAGTTAGTGTGTCAGCATATGTCTGTGTTGTTCGTATATGCCCGCCGAGGGTTAGTGTTGACGGCTGCCGCTATGGTTTCCCTGCAGGAGGAAGAGTGGTCCAAAAAGGCAGCACGCACGGGGTGTGCGGAAACACAACAGCGGGGAGCACGAGCACAGACGTCGGAGGGAAGCACGCACACAGGGTTCAAGGGAGCAACGGGGAGTTATTGTGTTTACAGCTTTTCACTGTGAATAAAGAGCACTGTTTGCATCACAGAGTCTGTGTTTTGGGTCCTCCTTTCCCCACATCCCCACGGTCTGCCAGCCAGACCGTGACAGAAGGCAAAATAAAACTGATTTTCTTTTCCTTTGGTCTCAAACACAAATCACTACACTGGATATAAACTCAGCTCGTATTATGATGACCTCTGAGTACTAATAATGATACTCAGTTAGGTTGCATTGATCACTGAACATTGATCATTACACAGAGTTTATGTTCAACATCGTTGCCCTCCAAATGTAAGTGCCCACAGTGATGTCACAGTGATGTCACAGTGATGTCACAGTGATGTCTACACCCGGGTGTGGTTTGTGTACCCCTCAGATTTTCCTAATCTGGCATACGAGACATAAGTGGACGATCGTGTTTGTCTTTACTGCCAATCCAATTATAAACTATGGACAACAGCCCTGGGACTCTTTAATTTTCCCTCAGCAGGATAATTCTGCCCAGTTCCTAAAAGCATGAAGCATCTGGGTGGTAATTAAAGCCTAACAAAACAAGTATTAATAAGATAAGACAAACTTTATTTATCCCGAGAGAAAGTCTTTTATCGTAAACATGCTCAATGCAACCACAGAGGCCTATATTTCCACAGCTGTTAGTCACTGAACAACAGACTGACTTGGTTTGGTGGCGCAGCACTAACTGTTGTCTTTATAAACTATAATAATAATAATAATAATAATAATGGATTGGATTTATATAGCGCTTTTCAAGGCACCCAAAGCGCTTTACAATACCACTATTCATTCACTCTCACATTCACACACTGGTGGAGGCAGCTACAGTTGTAGCCACAGCTGCCCTGGGGCAGACTGACAGAAGCGAGGCTGCCATATCGCACCATCGGCCCCTCTGGCCAACACCAGTAGGCAAGTCGGGATATAATTACATTATACAACATTTTAACTTCTACTTCACATCCTACTACAACTCACACCAGTATTTCACAGTATAGTGAAACATGAGCCCCATATGTATAAATCAATCTTAATCTCACATTTCAGTCAGATGAGAAAACTGAAACCTGATTTCTCTGCCAGAATGTCGCCGGACGAAAAACAGCGAAACATAGAAAATATGTATATGAGCTTCATAAATCATCAGAAAGGCTTTCTGCCAGAGTAGTGTGTAGGAGGGACCCCCCTCAGCACACTCGTATACAGCTCTGCCGAACACAACACGGTTTTTACTTTGCCAAACTCCAGAGAAACGGCAGCGTGATGTGCTTTTATGGGGCAAGGAAAAATACGAATGGCATGAAGATATGATTCAGTAATCAATGTGGTTATTTGTAGAAGTGAGCTTAGAAATCATCAAAGTGCTCCCAGAGTTCACCTGGTTCACGTAAATCACTGTTTGTGTTCGTGTACTTACCTTTTTCAGATTCTTTCTTTGCACTCTCCTTTTCCACTGATTTCATAGACGAGCATAGAACAATTAATGTTGGTTCAATCAACATATTCTGTTTCCTTTTTGTTATTTTTATTGATTTTCAGAAGTCACTGAGAAATGGTGCTTTGGTTTCTGCACTGTTTTATTCCACAGCCTCTCTTCACTTCTTTTCTCTTCCCTTTCTGCACTCATTGTGTTTGCTTTGCCTCCACTGCTTCGATTTACTCCGTAAACACACACACACAGCCTTAGTGAACACACACTGAAGTTTGTCACGTGTACACGGAGTTGTTCCAGGAAATAGACCCTTAAATGATCCGGCTGTAGGACTTAGAGGCAGGCATTGTCTTTCCAAAGGAGACTCGTGTCCAAAACATCTGCACACATGTTCACCTCTGTGGTCCCCTCACACATTCTCAGCCTATTACTCAAAACAAAGAGGTGTGGCCATATTATTTAACAGAAAAATAAACTATGGATTCATGTATATATGGGCCAAATGTTGATGATCCCTCGTTTTTTCACACCCTCTTCCCTTCAGATCACTCTGACGCCAAATGGCCAGGCTCAGTACAGTGGTCAGAGGAACAGGCAGCCAGTACACACTCACACTTAGACTTTACCTGGCAGCTCCACACTCATGGATATCACAGATATCACTGCTCTGTCTCTAGACACAGAAAACAGTCACACCATCAGTTAGGAGGTGGAGATTTAATACATCACTACTTAAAGAACAAAATTAAAATAATAGCCAACAATAAACAAAACTAAATGGGCAAAGTGTTTCTAATATAATGACCCCCCAGCACTACCAGCATGTGTTCTGTGGGAAGCTGGAAAGTAATGTGGGACAAAATAATAACTTATTGTTCACATAAGAAAAAACAGAAAAATGCTTGTATTAGAATCAGAACAAAAACTTCAATCATTCGAATCAGCCCATGCTACATCACTACAAGGAGATATTATTAACAACCTGAGAAAACTCAAACTGAAATGAAATGAAATCATTTCTGCTGCACTTGGAGAACTTTGAACAAAGTAACCAGTTAAAACTACATAAAAACAATTTTTTATTCTGTTAAAACACAAATGTGAACATTAATCATGATCCACAAATTAAACTTTTAAAGACTTTCATGAAGTCTTATACTCGTCACAGATCACTCGATTCATAAAGCAACAAGACAGGGCAGCTAGCACGAGTAACACTCAGGCAGCAGCTGGCTCTGTGAGCAGAGCCAGGAACACTGCCAGGTGTGAACAGGTAAGGCTTTGATCCAAACTGCTCTATTAACTTTTACAACTCCAAAATGATTTGAAGGCTTCATTTTCATATTCAATGGAACCTGAACTGTAGCAAAAAATATTGTAAAATGATGATTAACATTCATATACGTACAAATCCACACATGCAAAGAAGTCACACCAGGAAACCAGTCACATGCATTACTCAGGTGTGATTTTGACCCACTCTTCCACACAAGCTAATCCTGAAGCTTCCATGGCCCCTGTGAACTCTATCCGGTCGCTAAGTCTGACGTCACTAGCCGTGTCTGGGTCTAAACTCCGCTGCAGGTCCATATATCAAACGATCACTATGGCATTACTGAGAGTTAAAAACTGTCTAAAGTATCAGAGAAACTCAGGAGAGTTTTCTCCAAGCATGACATCCCGGTGCATTTCAGACCCAGCAACACGCTCAGACAGAAACTGGTTCACCCGAAAGACAAAACGCCAAAACACAGACTTAACAATGTGGTGTATGCTGTACAGTGCAGCGAGGAATGCTCAGACCTCTACATTGGAGAGACCAAACAGCCACTTCACAAGCGCATGGCACAACACAGAAGAGCCACCTCCACAGGACAAGACTCAGCAGTCCATCTGCATCTAAAGGTCAAAGGTCACTCTTTCGATGATGCCAATGTTCACATTTTGGACAGAGAGGACAGATGGTTTGAAAGAGGAGTAAAAGAAGCCATCTATGTCCACTGTGAGCGACCATCTTTGAACAGAGGCGGGGTTTACGACACCAACTCTCTGCCATCTATAATCCAGTTTTGAGTTCCCTTCCCAGACGCCTTAACGCCCACTCACATCCTGGGCCATCTGACCTCAGGAATTCGCATGATAAGGTGGGGCCAGGTTTCACAATGAACACACCCGAAACTCTGGCTGATTGGGACCCACACCCAGTTTACACCTTGGCTCAGGCGATTAGAGGATCATCAGGGGTCCTTTTGTCCCTCTGTGGGGGGTCACTCCCACTAGGTTTATATCTGGGACTCTCCACCATTTGACCTTAGAACTGAAGAAGCTTCTCGGATGAGAGGTGAAACGTCTTCAAGCAACTTAAAGAAGTCCAGACGCTTTTCTTTGCAAGCTCCTTTGACTACGATGACCTGGATGACTGAGAACCTTCACAGACAACTGTCTAAAGTCTTTCATCTGTAATAAAATGATCAGCGTTCTGCTCTACCAGGTGTAACAATTGAGTTTAACATCCAGGCATCCATGAAAACGGAATTTATGACATTTAACGGAGTTACAAGTTAGCAGGAAGTTAGCTCGCTAGCTTCTATCTAAATACAATATAGCATGTCCTGACTGCGGGGTTTTGGAAACAAATTAAAACGTACAGCTCTGCTATCACTTCCAACATAAATGAAGACAGAAAACTAAACAGCAGTGACGTTTGTAGGGTTACTGAAGTTGGGCTAGCTGGTATATAATGATGTGCTACGTGACCACTAGCGACACAGCTATGTTAGCATAATATAAACAAGCTAACTTTTTTTCCACTGGATAAAAGTTAACGTGAGTGTTCTCGGTGGTCAGGAACAAATGTAATTGCATGGTAGGATGCTGTAAAAGGACCAAACTACTTTAGGCCCGAAAGTAGGATTCGTCACATCATCACTTAACGACCGGATTGCTTAACAATGGAGTGTTGTGTGGTGAGTGTGCATGCAGACCATGGTGGCTGAG